TTTTTCTGATTGAAAATTTAACACAAGACCTGGAATATTTTTGCAGCAGTGAAACTACTTTTATTATAGATCTTTGCCGTAATGAATGATAATATATCTGGCCAAAAATAGGTACTGTAGTTTTTTAGGAAAACAGCCAATTTGCTTGAAATATGTGTAGAAATAATTTAGTGTATCAGCCCATATTGGCAATAACTTCTAATGTTTTTTGTTTTTTATAGAAAAATTTTACTACTGAAGATGTCAACAAAGATGGGAAACTGGATTTTGAAGAATTTATGAAGTACCTTAAAGACCATGAGAAGAAAATGAAATTGGCATTTAAGAGTTTGGACAAAAATAATGATGGTGTGTCTTTCTTTTATATTTATCACCAGCTATGAAGAAGCATTTCTTATGCTTCTAACAGTCTAAAGGATGCTTATATAATCTCTCTGGGTTTAGGTGATAATTATTATTTGTGTTACTACTTATTTTTCTTAGTAATGTGATTTTTATGTAGAGTTCATATTATTTAGTGAAGAAAACTTATAGATAGCCTTTTTTTTCATTACTTTGAAAGGTAGTGAATTACATTGCTGAATTAAAAATAGTAGGCAGGGCCTGTTGTAAATTTTAAACTGTGGAACATTATGCTGATTTGACTTAAACGTGTAGTTTAAAAATAATAATTACATTTTCTTGCCCTCTAGTTAAGAGATATTTGTTTTTATTACTAGACAGGAATGACAATTATATATTCTCAAATTAAAAAAAACCTCAGATTATCTTGCATTTGATAGTATTTTTGAAAGAATCAATTTAGAGAAGATACTCTCTGATCCTGGAAATATGGGAAAAAATAGCATTTAAACATTTAAGTATGTGCCTTCTAGTTGTGATTATGACTTCTCTATTTTGATTAATAGATTGGAGTTTGTCTTAATCTGTTTTCAGTTGCTATAACATAATACCGCACACTGGGTAATTTATCAAGAAGTGAAATTTATTTCTTATAATTCTGGAGGCTGGGAAGTTCAAAGTTGAAGGGTTGAATCTCGTGCGGGCCTTTTACTGTGTCAGTGTGCTACCTCAGATCTCTCCTGCTCTTCTTATAAAGCCACTAGTCCCATCGTGGGGGCCCTGCTCTGAAGACCTTATCTAATTCTAATTAGAAATAGAGTCTTGAAGCCCTCATCACCAGAGGCAACTTTTAACAGGAAGAGGGAATTTATAAAATTGTAAAGCAGCCCCAAACTCCTCCCTATTGTAAAGAGTCAGGGTCATTTCATTTGTAGACTTATTGTTAATGAAACAGGTTAAACAAATAGATTGAGAGGAAATGTGGTTCATATCTGAGGTCAGCAAACTTTTTTGTCCAGAAGTCTAGATAATAAATATTTTAGCTTTGTGGGTCATGTGGTCTCAGTTGTAGCTACTTATCTCTGCTGTGGTGCCTCAAAAACAGCCATGGACAATATGTAAATGAATGGGTATGGCTGATTTCCAATATAACTCTATTTACAAAAATAGTTAATAGGCTGTATTTGGCTTGAGGGTTACAGTTTGCCATCCCCTGATTTACACTGAAAATTAAAGTTAAATTCAAAGCAATTTCCCTCAAACAAACTAAACTCTTTAAATGGTTTTGATGATTGTTCAAGTCCATGACTCTCAGCCAGGAAGAGCTGAGTTTGGGTTGGAAAGTAGTACCGTTGGAACATTTGCCACCCCCAATAAGTCTTACAATATATGCCCCCAAGTCTAGCCTCAGTCCAGTCTTCCAGCAAAATTCAGCTTTCCTTCTTCCCTGCAAACTTTCATTCCAACATGGACCCTCTGCAGTTCAGTTGCAGATCAGATTGTCTGTGTGCCATTATGGGAGGCAGTAGCTGAGAGATGTAGCTACCTTAAGATCAATTGCCAGATAATCAGAGGTTGATCATCCCAGTATATAAGTTGTATACACATCAACTGTTCATTTCATAAAATTCTAAATGAACCAGAGGAAATAATTAAAGATTAAATTTTAATGGTATATTTGTAGCAAATCTATACAATGTTAGCTTAATTTATCATGTTTGTTTATTTTAAAACAATGTGGCATTAGAGGTTTATATTTTTATTTTTCAGACTTCCTTAATGTAAAACATTTACAGTTGATCCTCATTCTTTAGGGGTTCTGTATTTGCAAATTTTCTTACTCACCAAAATTTATCCCAAAAGTAACCCCAAAATATATATTCACAGTACTTTCCCAGGCATTCATGGACATGCACAGAACAGTGAAAAACTTGAGCTGCTCAGCATGCATATTCTTAGCTAGTAGAATAAGGCAATATTCTGCCGTCTTGTTTCAGCTCTCATACTATTAACTAATAACTATCCCTTTTAAGGTCTATTTTGTGCCAGTTTTTGCATTTTTGTATTTTTGTTGGTAATTTGCTTTTTAAAATGATCCCCAGATGTACTGCTGAAGTGCTGACTAGTGTTCCTAAGTGCAAGAAAGCCATGGCATGCCTTCTGGAGAAAATAGATGCATTAGATAAGCTTTGCCCCAAATTCAGTGTTAGTGAATCAACAACATACTTTAAATGAGGTGCCTTCAAACAGAAACAGACAGAAGAAAAGGCTATGTATTGATCAATTGATGAAAGTGTTGTGATCAGAAGCTCACAGGAACCTAACCCTGTATGTCCTGTAGGAACAATGGTTCGGTGTTTGCTAATTCACTGTTTGCAATGAATATAGAACTTTATAGAACATGATTACTGTGAATAATGAGAATTGACCATGTCTCTTTAAGAGTGCAGTTCTAAAGGGGAATATTCAGAATGATATTTGCATAATTTCATTGCTAACAGATGCTGGCTCTCACTGTCCTTACATGATCAAGATTCTCATGCTGCTCCTTCCTTCTCTTCAGGAGGATTCTCTCAGAATCCTTTCTTCTCTCCAAGGTCCTTTCTCCAAGAAAGTCTGTCCTTTCACCACTGACAGTAATTTTTGTCTTCTTGTTTTTCTGGAGAAATCTGCTGCTCATGCTGCTTCAGCACCAGACCCTCTCTTACTTGGTTTGTTTTATTCTGTTTCATGTACAGTAATCTTAGGATTCTCATGAGCCTGTGAGCTGCTGGAAGAAAATACAGCAGTACTTAGATTTATTGCTTCCATTTTATTTTCTCTTTTCTCTTTCTTCCTCTGTTCTGATTGTTCTCCTCTGTCTACAAACATGCTCTCATTTCCCTAACACTAAAATTTTCAGTCTTTTATTGTTCTTTTATCCTTGTTCTCTTTATTTTTATTGCCAGATTGTTAAAAGAATAGTCTATTTCCTCATTTTCTACTTCTCTTTAACTCCATCATATAATATGATGTTTTGCATAGTAAAATGTCTAGTAATTTATTAAAAATGTAGAATTAGGTACTTTTAAAATGAGTAGATCCTAGTTTAATTGAATTTATCTCAGAGTTAGAATATGTTGATTTGGACTTTAGTTCTGCTACTTCTTAATTACATTACTTGGTAAGGCCACTTGAGAAGTCATTCTCTTTGGAGGAATATTATTTATCTATAGGGCTGTTATAATTACTGATTTTTTTAAAATGTGTGTTTATTTATTTAATGCATTTGTTAAATTTTGAGTATTGATGTTGGGATAGGCTTTTAAGCAAACCTATAACTCACCGAAGTGCATAATTTTGCCCTAATCAGTGTAAAGCTTTCTATTAAATGAGAGATTTGAAATTCATTATTCCTGTGGTTCTTGTCAGTTCTGAGTTTTATTTTTTGCCCTCTTTATTTCTTTAAAGGAAAAATCGAGGCTTCAGAAATTGTCCAGTCTCTCCAGACACTGGGTCTAACTATTTCTGAAAAACAGGCAGAGTTGATTCTTCAAAGGTAAGCTCTTCGTCTTGGTCAACAATTGACTTTTTGCTTTAATGTCCTGCATTAGAAGTCTGTGTTTCTAAGTGTGGCTTTAAAACACCTCACTAGTCTTCATTATGTATATCTAAGATCTTTCTTTTTTCCTCTCATTCATTTTGTTTATGTACATTTATCAAAAGTGTAGGAATGGGAAGTGTAACCTTAGTCTGGACTCCTTCTTGTGAGGCCGCAAGGGATAGCGGAATGGCAGGAAGTAAGGTTTTAACTCCGTAGATAAGGAGCTAAAAAGTTTTGGTGTTGGTTCCAGGTCTTTGCTATTGTAAACAGTGCTGCAATCACACTGCCACATGTGTACCTATGCAACAATCTTGCATGTTCTTCACATGTACCCCAAAACCTAAAATGCAATAAAATAAATAAATGAGGAAAAAAAAAAGTTTTGGTGTTACTTTTTTTCCGCTTGGTTTCTAATGTAACATTAACATTCATTGATTCAAACTAAGAAGCCTAGCAGATTCATCACATTATTTAACCTACATGTGACTGGAAAAATAAGAAATCACTAAGCTCTCCTTGCTAACAAAGAAATACCTATTTTAACTTTCAGAAAAGAGAGATCCAAATCTTAACCTTATTGTCTGAGGCAATAAGTTTGACTATTTAAGCCAGATTTTTCGAGCCTTAATGTTTTATTTCTCAGGACAGAGCAGTGATCTCTGCAGCCCAGGTGCTCTCAAATACTCTGTTGCTACAAACACAGGGCAGGGACTGATTTTTTATGATAACATAAAACAGAAAAGGACAATTACATTGTATTAATACTGTTGCGAATGTTTTTAGTCCTCACGTTGTCTAAAAAGAATTTCTAAATGACTTTGTTATTTATCTTGTTTTATATCTGTACTGGTAGCGTTTTCATCCCTTCTCTCTTGGCATGATTCCTTTGATAGACAGCTGCTCAATAGGAAGGCTCAAAGTCTCAAGGCTGAGCACATAATGACTTTTGTTAGCACTGGATGAGAAGCGCCTTCCTGAGGAAATGGAGCCTAAAACATGAAAAGAAGATAAACAGAATTTGGACAGTAAGAGATATAGAGCATATAATATTCTGCTTCTAAAGTCAACATTCTTCTAGGAAAGTGAGGGTTTTTCCCTGGCTGTTAGGCCAGAAATCATATTATTATATTTTTTACGACAGCTTTAAGAATAATGCAAATTCTAAGCCCAAGCTTCAGAAGTAGACTAAGAAGCATTAGCTTAGCTGCCATGACAAAATACCATAGGCTGGATGCATTAAACAACAGAAATGTATTTTCTCACATGTCTGGGAGCTAGAAGTTTAAGATAAGAGTACCAGCATGGTTGGGTTGTGGTGAGGTCTCTTTCTGGCTTGCAGATGGATGCTTTCTCACTGTATTGTCAGATGGCAGAGAGAGAGAAAGGTCTGCTTCCTCTTATAAGAACATAGTCCTGTTAGATCAGGGTTTCATTCTTATGACTTCATTTCACTTTAAGTACCCCCTAAAGATGCTATTACCTCCATATATAATCACATGAGAGGTTAGGGCCTCAACATTTGGATTCTGGAGGGATATAGTTCAGTCCATAGCAAAGGGTAATGAAGAGGGTCGGATATTTAAAAGTAGCTACATAATTTTTAATGTAAGTATTTTATGAGAACTTTAAAAAAAATTTTTGAGACAGAGTCTCACTCTGTTGCTCAGGCTGGAGTGTAATGGCG